TTGACGTAACAGTATCCCTCAAGTAGCTGTCGATTGGTCTTTGGCTTTTCATCTTGTCGTGTAATTTCCATTTGTAGGGCCAGGTGCCTGGACTATACTCACTGACACCTAGTTCTTTCCCTTGAGTACTGTATTCTGCTTCCCAGGCCACTCTATTTCCTTAGCTCTTTTGCGTCTGTTGTTGGACATTTGGGCTAGTCCCTGACGGATCTCATGTTCACATAGGCAGCTGACAGAATAGTCCCTACATGCCACATTCTTCTGTGTTACATTTTTAATTCTCTGTGTTTGTATTGACATAAATTCAGATTCAATTTGTACTGATGATCTGGCCTCCTATTCCATCCAGTTGAAATGACTTTGTGTCATTCATGATTTGGTCATCTTTTGCATTTTGGGGGTGGGATCAGTTCTTATACCCATTGTATGGGCAAGAAAGACATTGTACCTCCAAGAGAGGAAGTGAGTTGCCTTGGGTATGCAGAGAGCAGTTGGTGGGTAAGAATTTGCATCTGTCCCCAACACTGGTACTCTTGGCCACGTTGCTGCTCTGATTCCTGCCCCATCAGTGGCATTGAAGGATGCTCCAGGACACCAACTGCTTTGCTGAGATTATTTTAGGTATACAATGCTTCCAGATGCACCTGTTTAATCACAAAAGATCCCTAGTTGTTTTGGGAAACTTGAACCGATGTTGTCCCTCGTATTCTTTTTGAAATGTTTGCAAGCCACGTGGTCTATAATTCTAGAATATTCCCCCTAGGGATTGTCATAAAGCAATCTGTCCTTTTACAGTTTTTGAAAACGGACAGGGACAGTTTGCTTAGGCTTTTGCTTCCCAGTGTTTAATCACTGTGCTTCTCTGAGGTCACCTGAGAACTTTCCTCTTTGCCTGGGCTGAAGACTGACTCACTTAGTGTAACTGAGGGCTATCTCTTCTTCTCATCAGTCCTGGGTTCTATCTTTTTCAAGACCACCCTGAAAAACTAGAAAAGTGGGAAGCTAAATTGAAATTGTTGGCTCTCTTTTTTGTCAAGTCTTTACGTTTAGCACTTTCTCTGTGCACAGCACTATCCCTTTCTTGCACTCTTCAAGTGGTTTCAAAAACCCTTGTGAGGGGCACCTGGGTGGCTCAGTCGGTTGAGTGTTCAACTTCAGCTCAGGTCATGATCTGACTGTTTGTGGGTTCGAGTCCTGTGTAGAGCTCTGTGCTGACAGCTCAGAGCCTGAAGCCTGCTTCAGATTCTGTGTCTCCCTCTCTCTGCCCTCCCCCACTCATGCCCTGTCTCTTAAAAATGAATAAATGTTAAAAAAATTTTTAAGAAAAAAACCCTTGTGAAATCATGGTCTTTTAGTAAGCTTCTGCTTATTCTGGGTGTTAACCTTCTTCGATGCTGTCCTCAGAAGGGCAGTCCCTTCATGCATATTGTCTTTGAGTCTGTGCCCCCTTTTCACATTTTAAGCATTATTTTCTTAAGATCTGAGATCACCAATGACCACCTTTGGTGGCCACATTGGGTTTTTTTTTCCTAGGTATTTCCTCTCTTTTTGTTCCTCACTGAGATTAGTCACATAAATGAGCAGAATTGAGGGTTTTCTCTCAGTCTCTTTCCTTACTTGATATCTGTACATCTGGACACTTGAGCCCCAGTCCCTCAGGTTAAGAATGGGTGGCATTAGGGAATTTTGTTTAATCTTTCCATGCCTTGTTTTCTTTATGCCAGATTGGGCACGATAACAGCACTGATCTCCTGGAGTTGTTATATAGGAAATAGTGCATAGTTATGAACCTTATTAGTATTATTATTCTACCTATTATTGAAGCCCTTTGTGGTTACAAGTGATAGAGAGCCAGCTCAAACTGGCTTCAACACCAAAAGAATCTGTTGGCTCAGGGGACCTTTCCCAGGGGCTTGCCATCAAGCAGAGTCTAAAAGTCACCCCGGCTTTAGGCATAGCTGAGTTCAGAGGGCTGTTAATGTCACCAGGACCTGAGTCTCTCCATTTGGCTCTGTTGTTGCTTCCCATGGAGGTAAAATGGTCACGGCAGCACCAGGCCCCTGTCTCCCTTGGGCCCCCAGCCTGGCAGAACCATAGGGAGCAGGACCACAGAGCTTGGACTTGGCTTCTGTGTCTTGGCTCCTCTTGTAACTGGTGCCGTGCCCAGAGGAGGGGGAGACAAACTCTGAACTTGGGAGATTTGCTTTCCCAAAAGGGAGCTCAGGAGCCTTCCTGGCTGGGAGAGATTTCACTGACACTCTTGGACATCTCCTCCACACTGAGGCTAACAGCTGGACCTTTCAAAGTGGCTCTTTTCCAGTGGGACAGACCCCACCAGAGTGCAGAAAGATGATCTTGAACCCTGGGACACAGGTCCTTGCTTCTTACCCCCTCCTTGACTTGTCCAGGTATTTTTGGCTTTGACCTACATCTCTGACATCCGCTAGACTCCTTCCTGGGCTCCACAAAGCTTGGTCCTGGTGGCTGGTAATCACTTGGCTTTATCTTTACCCTTTGACAGCTGCCGGTACTTGCCAGCTGGGTTTTCCATGCCTGGTCACTGACCTGGGAGTCAACCTCCTAAGAAACCCCTGGCCATTCATCGTGTTTATGGTGTAACCCTTCTGTCACATACGGTGCTGGGCACCATTTTTTTTTTTTTTTAGTAAGCTAGAATCCATGTTCCCTTCCTTTGCACAATTCAGTGTTCCTTTGTGGCATGGTCTTGACCATTGGGCAGTCTTGGGGGGCAGGAGAGTCTAGGTGCTGTGCCCTCCCCATATGGAAGTAGAAGGATGCTGTCCCCAGCACCCTTGCCAGCCCCAGAGCAGAGCTGAGCAGCTTCAGGAGTGACCACAGCCTGTCCATGTCCCGCGGAGGCACCTGACGCACTCATGGTCCCTCCTGGCCTGAACCCCGCTCTCCATCTCCGAAAACAGCTCTCCTGTGAACCCCGCGACAACGTCCAATACATTCCCCTTTCGCTTGAGTCAGCAAGAGTCGTTTCTCTTTCTTTCAAGAACGCTAGCTGATATTCTTGCACTGTGCTTCATCGTTTCTGGTTTTATAGATTTATTTGGGCCTTTTTTTTTTTTTTATTCCTCCCTCTGAAGTTTCTGTTTAAACTCTTTCTGGCCACACTGGCAGGTCTCCTGCCGCATGTTCTCAGATTTGGGTTAGTACATCGTGCTTCCTGCCAGGACCCTGCTGCTCTGGGGTGGATCTGGGCTGCGGTCCAGCAGACACAATTCTCCACTCTGACACCATCTACATGCCCAGATGTTCCCTCCGTATACTTCCTCCCTCCTCCTTTCACTTCCAAAGTCACGAACTTCAAGTGAAGGAAGAAATGAAAACACCACCTGTACCACCACCAATGTCTTCAGTTTCCTCCCCAGAACTTCAACGTACGTAGACACATACTGGATTGAGACTCAAAGGCTCACAGACTATCACTCTTGGAAGAAAAGTTAGAAATCATCGCAGGTCTTTACTCAAGGGCCATTTCTGACCGATGGGCTATGTCTGTCTGTGTTTCCCCACCAGAGAAGGGTAGGAAGGTGCCCTGAGGGATCCGCAAGGCTCACATGGAGGTGGGAAGGGAAAGCACAGCATAGGAGCTGATGAGTTCTCCTCCTCCAACACCCCCCTCTGCACTTTACAAATGAGGAGACTGAGACACACACGTATCAAGTTGTCTAAAGCTGGAGAAGACGAAGCAAGGGCAGTTCTGGTGATAGATTCTAGGTTGTCAAGGCTTTCTTATTTAAAAAAAAAATTTTTTTTTAAATATTTATTTACTTTTGAGAGAGAGAGACAGAGTGTGAGTAAGGGAGGGGCAGGGAGGGAGGGGGACACAGAATCCAAAGCAGGCTCCAGGCTCTGAGCTGTCAGCACAGAACCCGACGATGGGCTCAGACTATGAGATTATTACTTGCGCCAAAGTCGGACGCTTAACCGACTGAGCCACCCAGGTGCCCAAAGGCCTTTTCTATTAATGACAGTGGCATCTCTTTCACGCTGGAGTCCAATCACGAATGAGGTCATCCAGGTCCACCTGGGGATTGCCTGGTGTGTGTTCCGTACTCCGCCACTTTGGAACATCCTGGCGGGAGCCGGCTGTGCCTGTGGGCCTATGGGTAATATAGTTCTGGGGAACTTTGAGCACTCCACTTCCCATGCCCTGGGGCCAGCAGGGAGGTGCAGCGCACAGGGTCTCTGGCGTCTGAAGGGCACCCTGGGAGCTCACCCATTAATTGGGACATCTTTTTACAGTGCAGCCAGTAAACTTCAAGGACCACTGTCCCAACAGAAACATACCCCATTTCATCCCGAGTGGAGAGAAAACAAACAGGCAGGTGAACCTCCCCCAGGTGCTAACTTTCTTCACACCTGAGATGGTAAGTCGGGTCCAAATACAGACCTGGCATTTGACTCATTAGAGCTGGCTGTGTGAAGGTGAGGCCTCACTGTCTTCATCCTTCCTATACAAGCCAGCTCCGTATTTAAAAGTCTGTCCCATTTAATTGTCAAGGTGGAAGACGTCATAAAAGCCAAAATGCCTAGAAGGAAGAAGGGAGCACGCTCGCGGGTGGTGAGAAGCTTGCAGAAGCAGGTAGCTCAGGGAATGGGGTGCCTACCCCGCAAGCACTCACCCCAGCAGTCCCCTGGGGGAGGGGCGTTTCTTGTGGGAGAGGAGCTCCAGAGTGGAGTTTCCTGATAAGGACCAGAGAAGTGCTTTGGGGGAAGCAGTTCACAGGGACTGGGACCCCTTTCCAAGGCAGTCCTCAGTGGCCTTAGTGATGGGCGAGCATCCCGTTTTATTAAAAGCCTGTTGCTGGCAGGGAAAGCCGTCTGCCTGCTGTGTGGGCAGGGGCCCAATATCGCTGCGGGCAATTCCAAGCCAGTACTTCAAGCTGAAATCAAACCAGGAAAGAACAGGACTGTTTTTTAGCTGATGAAGCAGTACTTTTTCTTTCTTTCTTCTCTTTTTTTAACAGTTCTCTCTCGCCTGGCTCCACTGTGTACACTTTGTGTGTGCGGGCATGCATGTGACATTCTTTACCCGGCTGCAGCTGGGGCTCGCTCCGGGATGAGCCCACCCCCACTTGCTCCTCCCTGACCCCCCTCCTCCCCGCTCTGCCTCACCCCGGTGTCACCGGCCTACCCAGCCCCCAGCCCCAGGAGCAGAGGGAGAGGCTCAGACTGTGGCCTGAGGTTATTTACGGGGGTGGGGGTGGGGGAGGGAAGAGAAATTCACGGCTTTGTTTATCTTCGGAGTCTGGAAACTCGACAGAATTCATCCATTTCCAAGGAAGCCTGCATTTGTAGACTTCCAAAAATAAAAATAAAAGGAGATTCACTTCAAAAGAAACGAAGTGAAAAGCTGTTTGCCTTGTGAACGGATTTGTTTATTATTATGATATATTTTTTTAACATTAGGTTTGCTGAAAGTAGGCAAAAAGAGTCATTTTTCTCATATGTTTATTACATTTTTACTCTCATTCTCTGTTGCTTTATCAGTGAAAAGGGCAAATAATATTTTAAGAGACTGATATATATGGTCTCAGCTCAGCTCACACATATAATGGGAGATTGAGATTCTGGGTAAATGTTGACAGTCACATTCTTTGCTGAGGTTATAGGTGACAGAGAGGTTTCCATTCATGTTTTATTCAAACTCATTCAAATTGTCCCACTTTTACAAATTTAAAAAAAAAAGTGCTTCAACCCAGATTTTTATGATAATTTTTTTAAATAATAAAAACAATTTTAATACGCTGGTTGGTTGTATGTGATTTCTCTGGGTCTTTTGAAACTTTGGAGTGAACGGTGCCCATATCAAATATAGTATGTTAATTTACTGGCCTCTTTTTAACCCTGCACTCAATAAACTTTTCATGTGGTGCCAAAAAACGGTATATGTTTTGAAAAAAAAATTTTTAAGACACAGCAAGTGGAGAAAAGGCGATTTCAGGGAAAAACGTAGAATGTACTTGAAAATGTGTTACTTCACATGTGAACATTCAATTTCATCCTAAGGATATAAATATTCGATTTTTAAAGTTTCTATTATTTACCACATTATGTGAATCATTGTAGTGATGTAAGCCTAAAATCATGTAAACTTACAAGTGTTGCTATATATTTTAATATTTTATGGATTCATTTTATAGGAGTTTCAAAATCTTGGGGAGAGGTGATGTACGGTCCAAAATAAGAGCGGCATAAATCATGTTACATCTGATCTACTCATTTCTAAACTGTGTCTCTTAAGTAAAAGATATTCAGCAAATCGGTGGGTTTTTTTTTTTTCTCTCCACTCTCTCGTTACTTAAGAGAAACTAGGGGATTATCTTTATGGTGAGGAAAAGGGCACAGAAGGCTGTATTTTTCTTTTTTTAAGGAGGGGCAGGGCTCAGCGTTCTGCTTATTCTGCCTTTGCTGGTAAATTTAAAACACTAACTTCAAGCTTCAATATTGTGCTTTCCCGTGAGTCACTGGGCCAAGAGGCCATCCTATATTGTCAGGCCAGGGTCCAAGATGAGAAATCGGTAAAACACAGACATAAGAAGTCTTTGCAACTAAACAACCATAATGAAGAAAGTTCCATTCTTGCCATGGGAATGTATTTCTAGATAAATGTAGTTAAAGCCTTTCAGCACCAGAGGAAAACCTCTGCATTCAAGGCTCCGGGGAAGAACTAGGAAGAGCTCAAAGAAAACCATGTTCCATGCTGCAGACAAGTATTTACACTACTGATCAACATTAGGTCCAGGAAAGAAGTGACTACCTGTTTAGGCTTTACAGAGCGGGCTCAGAGAAGCGGGACTACTGAGTAATGCAATCCATCCCTTCCGAAAAGGAGAAAGAGGGTGTAGCTTTGACTACAGGAAGCACCATTGATAATATTTTTTCTGCTTTCTGGAAAATCAACCAGGAAAAAAAAATATGTCTGGAACATGTAGAAAATAGGCTGTCCTATTCCGGTTCTGGAACAGGATGGCATAGGCTAACTTTTCCCAACTCCATTTCTCCAAATACAACGGCATACCCTGAAAACTATTCAACAGACAATGATAAAAGAAATCTGAAAGTTGGAAAACAAAACAAAACAAAACACGGTGGACTGGCAAGGAACCTCAAGACTTGAGAAACAACTTTCTGGGTTCCCCGGATTTTCTTTTTATTTCCCGTGTTCCCTGATCTGGGCACAAGAGATGTTCGCAATCTGGAATCACCAATAGGCACAGACAAGAAAACAACAACCAAAAATGAAACCCAAGAATATCCTCTTCTCTCTGATCAAAGTTCAGGAGAGGGAAAATCCAACAGAGGCCCAGTAAGAATTACCAGCCCCCACTACAATCTAGGGTCCTTGCAAACAGTCTAATCTGTTGGCAGTGGGGGCAGCAGCGGCAGGAGAAGCAGCAAAACCCCAAGCAGTTCTGGCCCCTGGGCCACAAATGAGACATCAACGAGTGGCCTGATCCACCCACGGCAGCAGCAATGAAGCCCCGTGTCTCCCAGGCCTTGACCCAGTAACATAAGGACACCCAGGCCCAGTGGCTACTTCCCCACTTCCAAGGGTTGCCCAGCAACACAGTCTCCTAACATAATAATAATCACATAAGAAAGCAATATAAAGTGATGTATTAAAAGACATAATAATTAAATCAAAACGGAACTTTAAAAAATGTTCAGGCAACCCACAGAAAGGCAAGAACAAAGGAACAGAGGAAGGAGAAACAGAAAGAACAGACAGAAAACAGATGTGACACCAGACTTAGCCCTAATAGATCGTTAGATACCTTTAATAGAAATGGTCTCAATACACCAATTCAAAGAGATTGGCAGAGTGGATTACAAAGTATAGGTTGTTTACAAGAAACTCACTACAAATTTAATGAACTGAGGAGCCTGAGAGCAAGAGAAAGGAAAAAGATATACCATGCAAGTATTAGTCAAAAGCATGAATGGATATGTTAGTATTAGACAAAATAAACTCCAGAGAAAAGAAAGCTACCATGGGCAAGAGGAGTATTCCATTAAGGAAAAAATAGCTGTCCTGTGAACCAAATAACAGTTTCAAAATATCAAAGCAAAAACTAAGACAGCTGAAAGAAAGTGAGACAAATTTGCAGTTGCCTTTGGGAACTTTTCACCCTCACCCCCATTCCCGCTCAGGACCTTTAGGACCACTAAAGAGAAAATTAGAACACCACCACCAACTAAAAAGATCTAATTGGCATTTATAGGATGCTTGGTCAACAACAGCAGAACATCTGTCCTTTCAAAGGGCCCATGGAACATTCAGCAAGGTAGACCATATCCTAGATCATAAAGCGAACCTTAACAAATTCAAAAGAATTAAAATCATACAATATGTTATCTGACCACAATGGAATCAAGCTATAAATCAAAACAGGAGGTCAACAGGAAAATTTCCAAATACTTGAAAACTAAACAATAAACTTCTAAGTAATTCATGGGACAAGGAGGTGATTTCAAAGGAACCTTTAAAAATAATAGAACTGAATGAAAATGAAAATAAACATATTAAAATTTGTGAGAGGCAGCTAAAGCAATGTTGAAAGGGAAATTTATGGCACTAAAACTGCCTTGGAAAAGGAAATATCTTGAATCACTAATCTAAGTTCCTACATCAAGAAATTTTAAAAAGAAGAGCAAAATAATTTCAAAGCAAACAGAGAAAGGAAACAATAAAGAGCAGAAATCAATGAAATTGAAAGCTGGAAAATAGTAGAAAAAGTGATTGAAACACAAAGATGTTTCTTCAAAAAATAAATAAATAAAATCAGTAACCTCTAGCAAGATTGGCAAAGATAAAAAGAAGACACAGATCCCTAATATTGGAATCGCAGGAGATAACACAATAAATTCTGCAGCCATTATAATGATAATAAAAAATACTACAAACAACTTTATGTTCATAAATTCAACAACTTAGAAGAAATGAGACAATTCTTCAAAAACCACAAACTACCAAAACTTAGCCAAGATGAAATAGATGATGTACTCAATTCTTTAACTATTAAAGAAATTGAATGTGCAATTTAAATGCTCCACAAAAGAAATCTTTAGGCCCAGATGGCTTCACTGGAAAATTTTATCGTTCAAAGAATAATTGATGTTATTTCTATACAATCTCTTCCAGACATAAGAAAGGATAAATCACTTCCCAGTTCTACATATGAGGCCATCATTGCTCTGATACCAAAATCAACCAGAGACAGTACCCTCCCCCTGCCAAAAATCTAAAGACTATTATCTCTCATGTGCTTAGGTGCAAAAATCATCAACCAAATTTAATCAAATCCAACAATGTATAAAAATAGTAAGACACTATGACCAAGAAGGATTTATGCCAGGTATGCAACACTGATTCAGTATTTAAAAATCAGTCAATGTAATCTACCATATTGACAGGCTAAAGAAGAAAAATCATATGATCATATCAACTGATGCAAAAAAATCATTTAACAAAGTTCAATAGCCATTAATAATGAAAAAACCTGTCCATGCACTAGGAATATCAGGGAAGTTCTTCAGCCTCATAAAGAATATCTTCTAAAGCCTACATCAAGCATTGTATTTAATAGTGAAAGACTGAATGCATCTAAGATCTGGATCAAAGATGCAGAACAAAGCAAAGATGTCTGCTCTAACACTCTTACTCAACACAGCATTAGAAGTTCTAACCACCATAACAAGACAGGAAAAAGAAATAAAAGAATCAATAAAACTATCTCTTGTTGCAAGCAACACGACTGCATAGAAAATCCCAAGGAATCTGGAACAAATAGCTTGTCCTCCTTTCACTGGCTGTGCTGATAGGCAAGTATTTGCAGTTGTTCTCAGGGTTTGCCCCAGTAGACAGCAGCAGAGGGGCTGAGAGCACAGCTTGGGCATGGTAGACCAGGGGGACACCCCAACTCCCCTACTCTCAGCTGTGTGCCACTGGACACCTTCCCTGATCTCTCTGAACTTTGGTTCCCTTATCTTAAGTGGGGTTTTATGATAGAACCAGAACCTATGGCTGTTGTGAATATTTAACGAGAGCTGGTGTGCAGACAATTGGTCACGCTGTAGTTGCTGCCGGTCCTGCTACTGTGGCTGCTACT